ACATCGCGAAACCGGCGCCTGGCATCGCAACGCAAGCGTGACGCGACGCAATGAACGCCGGCGAACACGCGCGTTGAAATGTATTGGCACCTTGACTGTGGCATGTAGTCATGTTGTTACATGACACGCATCTCATGATTATCATGTTTGCACCAGTCGCATAACTTCGACATTCACTGACGTCACGTAATACCTAATTTGGCATATGTGAAGCTAGCGAAATGGCCGCGAGCGCATCAGGAGTGTGGCATATAGTCATGTTGTTACATGACACGCATGTCGTGATTATCATGTTTGGATGTGTCATTTACATATGTCATCCATTCGCGTCACGTAATATCGAGTTTGTACATGTGAAGCTAGCGAAACGGCCACAAGCGCATGGTGAGCGTAGCATGTAGTCATGTTGTTACATGACACGCATCTCATGTTTATCATGTTTGCACCCGTATCATACCTTCGTCATCCATTCATGTACCGTAATACCAAATTTAGTATATGTGACGCTAGCGAAACGGCCGCGAGCGAATCATGATCGTGGCATGTAGTCATGTTGTTACATGACACGCATGTAACGATTTTCATGTAAGGGTCTGTCGCTTGTGTTCGCCATGCAAACACGTCCTATCATACCAGTTTTGCAACATGACATGTGAACGCAACCACCACAAGAGCTGCAGGACCATGAAATGTAAACCATGACATTCATGACATATTTATCATGCTTTTCATGTCATTACTAGTCAGATATGTTCTTCATACAGTCATGTTATGCCATACCAAGTTTGGTGCCGATACCATCATGAAACGACCAGGAGAGCTGAATGTCGTAGGCGAATTAGATAGATAGATAGATTAGATAGATTAGCTAGATAGATAGATAGATAGATAGATAGATAGATAGATAGATCGATAGATTAGATAGAGATGATGATAGATAGATAGAATATAGCTAGATAGATAGAGATAGATATATAGATATAGGATGTAGATAGTAGATAGTAGATAGATAGATAGATAGATAGATAGATAGATAGATAGATATGATAGATAGATAGATAGATAGATAGATAGATAGCTAGATTAGATAGATAGATAGATAGATAGATAGATAGATAGATAGATAGATAGATAGATAGATAGATAGATAGATAGATAGATAGAGATAGATAGATAGATAGATAGATAGATAGATAGATAGATAGATAGATAGATAGATAGATAGATAGATAGATAGATAGATAGATAGATAGATAGATAGATAGATAGATAGATAGATACGGGTGGGTGGGTGGGTGGGTGGGTGGATGGACGGATGGATGGATACGCCCAAAGTCGCCGAAGTTCGCTAAGAAATGCTTCGCATTAAAAAAATACCGATGATTACGATACTGTCTGATACGAATAGTCAGCGCAGCTGTTCATGTGCTTTGCTTTTGAAATAAGTCGAGACAAACAATTTGAGAGAGATATGTATGTATGTACAGTTGCATAGCATTTCTTTTCCAGAACGGGTGTGTTAGTATGCCTTCTATCGCGCTGACGAAGAAAGAATTTGATTTCCTTGGTGTCCATTATGATGCGTAATAATGTTGCAGTTGCTTCTGCGCAGGAGTTGTGCTTATCGTTGTGCCCTATAAGTAGAGTTGTGATCACAAAAATAAACTGTTGAAAGTAGCGCTATGTGTGTGTGTGTGTGCGTGTGTGTGTGTGTGTGTGCGTGTGCGTGTGCGTGTGTGTGTGTGTGTGTGTGTGTGTGTGTGTGTGTCCTTTCTTTGTGTATTCGTATTCAGTGCGCTCTTACCCTTCTTAAACATGGAATACCAACATGCCCACCTTTCCACCTTGGTTTCCAGAACTATGTCTCTCTTTCTATTCCTCTTTCTTCATCTTTCTCTCTCTCTCCCTCTCTCTCTCTTAGGGGAACACCCATTTGCTGGTCTCTTATTCTGATGAAGGTAGCTTTGTGGTCGCAGAAGTGAGTAGAGATCCAATTCAGCTTGCTGCACCATGTCTGGTCCTCAATGACGAGGTCTATGCAAGTGTTTTGCGAGGTCGTCCCATCAGTGAGGTGAGTTACGATGGAAAGGAACGGTATGTTCTCGTGGATAAGCAGAAGAGAGTTCTTGCTAGTTTTCATCTATATATTGAAGTCACCAACAACTAATGTTGGTGTGGGTCAGTGTGTTGTTAATATGAGGCGCATGAAGTACACGACGTCTGTTGCAAGCGCCGTGGGCGAGAACTGCATAGCCACTACCAACAAGCTATGCAAAGAAGTTCTGTGGGGATTCGTAAGGTGGTGGGAGGATTAAAAAGTTGGTTGTCTATTTCGCTTACTTGCCAGCGAGCTCCTTTTCAACATTACTTGCCAAATTCACGTGGCTGATCCTTTTCGTTTGACACTCACCCATGCTTTACACGTAGGGGATTTGGTCAGTTTCTGTGGAACGCACTCGTAGACGCAGTTACAATACAGCACTGACGGTGCAACCACTTAACGCAGAAACGGGCTCTTAACAGCAGCCGTCTAACAATGTATCATGCGCGTAATATATTGCTACTTCTGTTCTAGTCCAGCACTAATTTTGCGATATATGCGGCACTCATATTGTTCCTCCGTACGTCTTGGTGCAGCTATATATACTGTGCTTAATGTAGCTCCACTATACCGCCAAACTTGCACAATGGTGCAGCAACAGCCAGTGATTCTTTTGATAATTGCGCGCTTATCGGCGTGGTAGTGCCCTTTTTCGCCTGACGCGGGCCTTAGCCCAACGTTTCAGAATTGTTTTTCGTCATTTTACGTAAGATGATGCGATTTATTTTTAAGTTTTCCGTATAGTTTTCTTTCTTCCAGATCTGGTTAATTTATTTTACATTGATATTCGTCATTGTTAGCCATCTTTTAGGTCTCTATTTACCACTGCATGACCAAGCGACATGAGGCAGTGGGTGGACAAGCCGGGCCAGCTATGTGCTACGCATAAGTAACGACAAACGTTACTAAGTTACCGAAAAAAATTGACGCACTGCCGGTAACACCACTACATGTAATATGTTACCGCCAACACACAATAAATCACGCTACTTTAAAGGGACCCTGCAACACTTTTTGAGCATGGTCATAAAGCACTGCCGATCGGTAGCAGAGGCTGCCGACAATACTCGAGCCAAATAATTTAGCGCCACACGCGGCCTGGAATTCGCAATAAATTTTCAAAGTCAGCTAAAAATTGCTTTTTGTTCTCTCGAAAAATCACGAAATAAGCCCAAAAATCACTCGTATATCAGCCATTCCCTGATTTGAACATGGCGCGCTCGGTCGTTACAGAGATTGCCGTGAGAGGCTGCGACTTGTCCCCCCGTGCGCACACGATCAACTGAAAAAGCTGCGCATTCGAAGAAAAAAAGAAAAAAGTGCTCAATGTCACGTGGTGCGCATGACGTGTTTCTTTGCGCCTGCCATCCCTCCCTGCTCAGCTTCCAGCGCTTTCCTCGGGACGAGAGAAGAGAGAATGCAATCGCAGCATGTGACGAATCTTTCATCATTTCATATGTGGGGTTTAACGCCCCAAAACCACCATATCATTATGAGAGACGACGTAATGGAGGGCTCCGGAAATTTCGACCACCTGCATATATGGGGTTCTTTAACGTGCACCCAAATCTGAGCACACGGGCCTACAACATTACCGCCTCCATCGGAAATGCAGCCGCCGCAGCCGGGATTCGAACCCGCGACCTGCGGGTCGGCCGCCGAGTACCTTAGCCACTAGACCACCGCGGCGGGGCAAGTGTGACGAATCTTTGTAACTCCACTCGCACTGGGCGGATTTCTAAAATTTAGCGCCGTTTGATTCCTGAGGTAATAAGCTCTTCCAGAGAGTTCATTCCATGATTACTTGAAAAAGTGTTTCTGGGCCCGTTTAAGCTTTCTTCCCTTGCGAGCGCGATCTCCAATTTCAAGCTGACCTATAAGCATGACCGTTCCCCATTTACTGAGATATTTCAAGTGTGTTTCCCATTCCATTATGAAAATAGTACAATATTAGGACTATCACAAACTTTCTAATCCGCGAAAAATTGTTACGCCGGCTCCGTCCCAGTAAGCTTGTGCGCTTAAGTTACGACGCAGATTAGGATTAAACTCTATGCGAAGTAATTTTGTAGACGCCGTCCATTTTTCTAAGTGTGCTAAGAGCTGAAAATGATTCAGACTTGACTATCACGCTTTTTTTGCTCACATTGCATGGAACAAGTGTGGGGGCGATATCCAAGGCTGACAGCACCCTCTAAAGACACGTGCGCCTCTAGAGGCTCTGTAATAATAATTGTTTGGATTGTGGTCTCAAAACCAAGATATGGTTATGGCGGGTGCCGTCGTGGATGGCTCGGAAATTTCAACCACCCGAGGTTCCTTGACGTGCAGCTGAATCTTAGCCCACGGGCGTGCAGCGTTACACCTTATTTGAAATGTAGTGACCACAGCTGGGATTCAATCTTATGACTTTCGGGTCGGCGTTCAAGTACTATAGCCACTAAACTACCGGAGTGGTTCGCAGTGTGTTTTTGGTGGCATATTTAAAGAACTTTACGCAGAATATACACTGAATAACCTTACAGTAGTGTATTTGAAAACAAGTAAACTCATTACTCTTGTACATAACGACCTAATTGATAAATATTTCCCTGGGCAAAATAAGCTGTTTTTGCCATTGGATAAATGGAGCTCTTTGCTAATGACAAGTTCAGCGTCAAGATTATATTACATATTTTTGGTTCGGCCAGGTATATAGAGCGTAACACGTTCCTCCCTATACTGGCCTATAGGATAATATCCTTAGTTGCTGCAGTGAGGTAATTATCATCCATAATTTGTTCATGAATCTACTACGTCATAATTTCTAGACATGAATAACTGTGCTCGCTAAGGGGCTAGTAATATAAAATGCGACGCCACGTCGCAAGACATTTTGCTTATCTACTAATTCGCTTACCTTTATCGACGCATGTTTGATCAAGGCATTGGCCAACTTGGGTGACTCTTGGCCACCACCTGCCGGTCGTTTGCAGCTGAAAAAGAAGTGGAAATAAAAAAAGATTGCTGAAAGTGATGATGGCTAAAGAATACTATTACTACGCACTACAGAAGGAGAGACAGTAATGCCGAGACAACTTGCATCGTTCTAAAGTCGAAACTGCTCGAGCACAACGTTTTCCAGAGAAGCTACATGGCGGTAGATCGTTACTATATTTGCAAACTGGAGAGGAAATTTTTCGTCACAAGTGTTTCAATCGCACGAGAATTCCGTGACGACACTTCATTTTTTCAAACTCCTTGTTCGGTGAAACATTCCGCATAGTTATGACCTCGTTATCACAAGAGAAAGGGGGGGGGGGGGTATTCATTAGGACGCTATGTGTATATGCAATGAGGCGCTGCGATGTTTACGTACATGCATATGAAACGCAAACCAGCAATACTGTACTTTTGGTTTGCTGCTACATGTGCCCCAAACACTACATTATTATTGTAATACCTCGTATTTCTTCTTCCTCGTTTGTCTATCGAATATAGGCCTGGCAGTACATTCGCAACCTATTTAAGCGGGGCGAGCACTGAGTGACATTCTTGTTTCTCTTACAAGTACTTCCAGTTTCCGGATATTCGCAGAAAAAAAGTTATTGAAAATTTAACTGGCACGAAATTGATGGTTGTCGTTCTGGTTACTGCTTGTGTGAAAACAAATCATGTCGGATAATTGGTTTACTCAAGACAGCAACCAACATACCGTCACAATAACTGTTTGAATTTAATTTCATGAGTTCATTGAGAGAGTGGATGGATTCCTTGTAAATGTTAAAGCACCTGGTGGAGCAGATAATAAACATACGCCAATTTTTACATAGCCTCTGAAATCCGCTTGAGCTTCGCTTTCAAGAGTTGAATGCGATAGCACAATCAAGCTTCGTGCGCATCGACGTCCTAATTGCTTACCCAGCTTCGATTCTCGCTGCACACTTCAACCATGCCGTAAGAAAACGAAGGACTGTGCGCTAAACATTGGGCGTTTTGAGATATTTTATAATGCCCACTGTTTGTACAGTTCAAGTGCCCACTGTGCCATAATTATTTCTTTTTGCGAATCATTGGTGGGCCCACTACACGTCCGTATATAAGGCAACACGTGCACTTGCGCTGCTGTTCACACATTGTTGAAGTTTTGGCTGAGGATGAATAATATTATTAATTGGCGGGCCTTTGAAGTACCCCCTCTAGTCACACAACCAGCATGTTTGGACGCCAGGCGCAATTGCACCCTTCTGCCACGCAATCTTACAGACTCCTTCCACAACATCAAATCTATATAGTATTGTTTTTTTTTCTGATGTGGTTCAAAAACGTTACGTGACTCTGTGGTAAAACATCTTCTTGCTACGCAGACGCCTTGATCTCGCTTCTCACTCATACCCCAAGTTTGTTAGCGTTTATTTCATTCGCATCTTTCTCGAGTTTTCAGTCACGGACGAGATATCTCGGATCCGTCACAATGAACGATGCCATCACCGGCGCGGACACCGACATCAGAATTACTATGAAACGAGCTCTTCAACGCTATTCATTTAACACTGTGTGAGCCCAACGAAAACACTGCGGTACACCAACACCAACGCCAGGATGTGTGTGCTTCACTACTAGGCACCAAAGCAAAAGCTTTTAGTGCGATAGCAATTATAAGGTCCGTCTTGGCTGGTTTTTTTTTTGCAGCCACCGCTGCCGTCATGCACAGTATATATATATATATATATATATATATATATATATATATATATATATATATATATATATATATATATATATATATATATATATATATATATATATCGACTATGAATCGACTATGAATTCGACCAACTGCCAGCCAGACGTTTCCTTGCTGCGGACGGACTACATCCGAGCTTCATGGGGGTAGCACTCATTGCTCAAACGCTGAAGGGGGCAATATATCGCGGGAACCTCGAGCCTGCCGCGGGGTGGTCATCCCAACCTACCACTCCCATCCCAATGCGAACAGAAGAATATCACCAGGGAACCAGAAGTCACCAACACGTTCCCGGAGCACTGCAGACCTCTGACACCACGACAGAGTTCCCAACGATCGTTGAAAGTATAACACCTCGACGCCCGATACAGCCCACCGTCATCGACAGCAGTACCGCACCTTCCCAAGAGGTGAAACCTGCCGACCAACAGAGGCGTGTTGCTCTATTGCCGACCCCACCCAAAGAAACATCGAGCAACACGGACATCCTGCCCTCAACGCTCGCTCGGAGCTCAACGCCTGCCAGCAGCTCGACGCCCGGATCATCCTTTCAACGACGAAGGCCTGCACAACACACCTACAACCTGCGGACTTCTGCAGTACCGTCCCCGCGCCCAAAAGAAGACTGACTTCCAATCTGTAAGTCCAGCTCTCTGCTCTCCGGTTACAGTGCCACTTTTCTTAAAGTAAGAAAACTCACGGATAAACGAATCAGACATGCAATGCATAGATCGACGCTGCAAGTATACCTAAATGCTAGAATAGCCCCCAAAGGAATGACACTCTCCATCACCCCTGCCGCCACAAATCTCGACGAAAACAACCAGGCCGCATGGCAAAACGTCCTTCTAGAAGCATCACTCAAGCTAACAGAAATTGCAATCAACCACAGTGAAAAACAAGTAAAGAAACTGACCAACATGACCAACGCCATTCTGCGCGACAACAACCACTTATCAAACGAGGAAATCACCCTACTAACAGAGTTCGAACAGAATAAATACCAAGAGGTCAAGAAAACTAAAATACAGAAACTTAAAAGAGACAATGTTTCCAACCCCACACTACCAGACGCTACACTGTATGACTACAACACATTCACCCACGAGGAAACTCACGGCACAAACAAGAAAACACCTATCAACACTCACTACGACGCTGCGATTATAAACCTATCAGACACGAGTTTGTCAACTGATGAAGTAAAACTATTATCTAAAGGACTAAACTTCTGCCCAACTAGAAAATCTTTCGATGAGTTTCACTTACTCCGAGACCTCGACAACTTCGCTAGAAAATTGAGGCTGCACGAATATTTCTTGGACAAGCCGTCTAACATTCCAAAGACTCCCCGCCACCAAACAAGCGATTGGACACCAAATAGTCATCGAGACAAGTGTCTGGACTTATATTAACGCGGTCCAGAAAGATATATACAGGAGTATCACAGACAGAAGGGAAAGCGGGAAAACATGACAAAATCCGAGAAAAAGAGTATGCAAAACCTAACATCTAGGACCGATATAATAATAAAGCCCGCTGACAAAGGAGGGGCAATTGTAGTCCTAAATACAACCGACTACCTACAAGAAGCATACCGTCAACTAAACGACTTAAAATTCTACGAACGCCTCCCAGGGGACCCGACAGAGAAATACACGCGTATTGTAGCAACAGAACTGAAGAAGCTGTTGGACGAGGGAAGAATAACACGCAGTGAGCACAAATTAATGCGGCCAGTACACCCTCGTCCAGGGCGCTTCTACATACTCCCAAAAATTCATAAACCCGGTAATCCAGGCCGACCAATCATTTCAGGTATAGGCACAGTAACCGAGCCCATATCAGGGTACGTAGACAAATTAATAGGCCACATTCCTTGCACTCTCGGGTCGTACGTAAAAGACACCTCACATTTTCTTCGAGATATTGCAGACCTGCGCATTCCGAAACACTCATACTTAGTTACCCTTGATGTGTCTTCACTTTATACAAATATTCCCCACGATGATGGCATAGCGGCATTAAAAAACACATACACAAACCATAGACAACCTGACACCCCAGATTTCTCTGCCATCGCAAGCCTCACAAGACTTGTATTAGAACTGAACTCATTCGAGTTCAACCAAGAGTACTTTCGACAAATCAGCGGCACCGCCATGGGTACCAAACTCGCACCAAACTATGCTAACATTTTCATGGGAAAACTAGAAACCGAATTTTTGTCCCAAACTCCCTTGAAACCACTCCTATACAGGCGGTACATTGACGATATTTTTCTTATTTGGACTCACAGCGAGGATGAACTGCTAAACTTTATCGATACTTACAATACTGTGCATCCAAACATACACTTCACACACACCTACTCACAAGTAACCGTAAATTTCCTTGACGTTACCATAATAATAGAAGATGATAAACTTTCCACAACCCTCTACCGCAAACCAACAGATCGACAACAGTACCTCCATTACCAAAGTGATCATCCACGCCATTGTAAAAACAGCATTCCATACGGCCAGGCCCACCGTTTTAAGCGAATTTGCTCAAAAGACACTGACTTCCACGCGAGCTCACAAAAGCTTAAACTCGTGCTCGAAAAACAGAAATATCCTCCACATGTAATTGATGACGCTATTCAAAAGCTAGAAAACTTCAGCGTGATGACCTTCTGATGAAGCGGCCACCACAACACAACCTGCAACAGACACACCTATGTTTAACATACAGCACGAATTTCCCCAACGTTAACAAAATCCTTAAACGACATTACAACATACTGGAACAAAGTGAACGTCTAAAACGTGCATTCCCATCGGCTCCTGGCGTCGTTTACCGACGAACACGCAACCTCAAAGACACACTTGTAAACTCCCAAATCAATACTTCAACTTCCGACAGTTCATGCCGACCTTGTCTGAAGCCTCGATGTTTTGTATGCAAAGCGATGCGAGATACAAGCAAGGCAAGCAGCACACAATCCAACTTTCAATTAACATACGAGGAAATCTAACATGCGATTCCCCTAATGTGGTATATCTACTTGAATGCAACGTGTGCGGCATGCAATACATCGGACAAACGGAAACACCCTTTAGGATTCGTTTCAATAATCACAGAGCCCACGCGAAATCAGCGCCGAATCTACCTCTATCAAAACACCTTAACCTTCCCGGCCACTCCTTCGACAAATTGTCAGTCACACTTTTAGAAACAGGATTTAAATCAAACCGGGAACGT